GTATTGTATCTGAATCCACGACAAAACCTTTGACTCAAGTTAAAAAAGAGCCTTGCCAGCTTGAGTACAGCTGCTGACAAATCTGAAGAAATGGTGTGATGCATTCCTCCCACCACGGAGGCAAATTAAGCACGGGCTCATGCAACACAGTGTTTCATCATCCCTTCATACTCGAAAGTGTGACAACATGAAAATATTGGAAACAAAGACTGTATATAAAAGACTGAGATAACATCTAGTGCTGCAGTGCTTTAAAGCCTGGTCCAGTTAGAAAGAAGTTCATTTAAATATGTCCGGTGGGACCAGAGTTATCTCGGGTAGTTCCACTGTTAAATGCAGACAATAAAAGACATCATGGAGAAGCAAGAATTATGGAAACGTGTTCCCATCTGACCAGTTGTATTATCACTAGCAGCACTTTCATGTTAACCAGTTTAAACACATTGTTTTACTGTGTAAAATTAGTCATTGCCGCTCAGTTTTCATATCCATGCACATTTTAAAAGCTAATTATAGAAATAGAATAAAGTTAATATTAAACTACCAACAGAGTGGTCTGGAACGTTCTCCTCCCTCTCTGATGTAGCACATGCAGATTGTTATAGATCTTGATGTCACCGTTCTTTGACGTAAGGCAGCGCTGCAAGCATATCGTGAAACAAACAGGGAAGAGATACTATTGAGGTCATGAGGATGCTGAGTCATCTCTCTGCTTCTCTGAGCTCTTTAAGATGGGAGAGAGAGAGAGGAGACTGTTAGTGTGATCATGTGTCTCAGTCATTCTGAGAGTTGATGTCCTCAGAACGTGCTGGGTTTTTGTACAATAACGTAACATTATTGTACAATTTCCGTTCCACTTATCCATTAAAATGATCCTAAAGGGCCTTACAACTGTATTCTTTTGACTGAAGTTTTGATCCTTTGTAACTTCTACGTACAGGAGACAGGTATACAAGGTATTCATGGCTGGAAGACAAATTTAAGCTCTGTTTAAATCTACAGGGAAACAAACGTTACATCCACTGCAAGTGCCAGAAATGAAGGCCTGTTTTCCATGACTGACCTTGAGCATCATCCTTATGAGATATATCACAGCCAAACTGCTTTTGTGATCCTGGATGGATTTGTGTCTGGTTTTGTCCGTGTGGATCCTGAATAGTGCTTTTTCTGTATATTTAAAGGGTCATATCACCATGTGGTGGAGACGGCTGATCAAAACTATTACAGCATTTGTATTGTGTTTTATTGGGTTTTTAAAAATGTCCTTTGAGTGCTCGTTCTTGCTAAAGCCAAAAGAGAGATTGGCTTTATGATTTGTGCCCAAGTCTTCTACTTAAGAAGTTATGAGAGATTAAAAATGATGAAAGTATGTAGCTATGTACAAGGTTTCATAAAGTTTCATACAAGAAAAAGGCAAATCATTTTCATGGCTAAATCAGATATGTTTAAGTTGATTCAGTGGGAGTCGGTTAGGAGGCGCTCGCTGAATTTCTTTGGATTTCATTTGCTTTTGTATGTGACAGAAAATGTTTTTACTGTGAGGTTAGATGAAATGCTGGGTGTTACATTTACAAGTTGGATATTAGACTCCAAAATGAGCATAATGTAAAATCCTAAATTTACAAGCAGATTTCCTCTGTGCTCAGATGCTCCGTTCTGATTCTGAAAAATTCCTCACAAAACATTTCAAAGAGAAAAAGTCGTTGAAACTTCAGAAAAAACAAGCGAATAGGCATCTGTCATCGACGAAGGCCACGTGACGAGTGAGTCAGCACTGAGGCTGTGGCAGTCAAGGCTGCAACAATAGAACTGGGAGCAGGTGAAGGTCCAGCTGTCTACAGAAAACCAAGTGAGGCTAAATATGTCTCCCCCCAAGATTGCAGAGTGAGTGCACAAGTATTTCCAATCCATTTATGGTTTTGTGTGTAAACGCTTCATCGTAGACGGCTATAAAAATGCATCTTTAGTGCATGTTCTTCTACATGAGAACAATAAATGAACAGAATGAACAGTTCAGTTAGAAAAACAAACAAACTATGAGACATTACTCCTCTTGGGACTCCTCGCCTCTGTCAGTGCGCCCCAGGGCAGCTGTGGCTACAATGTAGCTGCCATCACCAGTGTGTGAATGTGAGAGTGAATGTGTGGGTGAATGTGTGGGTGAATGTGTGTGTGAATGTGTGGGTGACTGAATGTAGTGTGAAGCGCTTTGGGGTCCTTAGGGACTAGAAAAGTGCTATACAAATGCAGGCCATTTACCATTACTCCTCTTGGGGTTCCCTTCAGCCCCCGGAGTATTCACTCTGAAAAACAGACGTTAAACAGATATCCATAAAAAGGAAAGGAAGAGAGGCTGGGACTGGAAAGTAGGAGGAAGAGGGAAGAACATCTCTGAGAATACAGACTGTAGACACAGAAGTGCAGCACTGAGGAGTAAGTCTGTCAATTAAATACAATATTAAATCAAATGTTAAATACAGCGAAGGCAAATCATCACTGATGACAATTCTGGTAGTATGTACTCAAAACGTTCACGCCAAGAATGTCATTTATAAAAATAAATGGGTCAAAAGGTTACAAAATGAATACAGTGTTGTTTGTTTACTAAATTGTTTATCTTTCAAATATCTGGGAATTAGAAAGAGCAAAGCTGCTTATCAGCTTGCGGTTTCCCCTCTGACCATTTATAATTATGAATAAGTGCACTGATAGCACAGGAAGGGAAAATTATACATGCTAAAATATGGAGAAGTTCATAACACAGTCTGAATGCAACATGGCTGCTGCAGACAAGACATTAGTGCGTGCAAGAAGAAAAGTACTGTACAAAAGTCTAGTGTTAAAAGCACTGCATGAATATTCAAGCAAGGATAGTCAGAAAAAAGTACTTAACAGACTTTGTCCAACTCTATCAGCAGGACAACATCCTGCAGGACTATAATTAAATATTTAAGACAGTTTTAGTTAATATTCTTTCAGCTGCAATCCTGGTATTTAACAGTCAGAGCGCAGGTAAGGAAGCCCAGTCTCTGCAACAAGTACAAATAAGTGTCCTTTTTTAAAATCATGATGCTTTTTAATAAAAAGCACAGATGGAAATGTCTCATATTGACCATTTTTAATAATAATCTAATTACTGTGCTGTGTAAGCTTCTGCCTCTGAAGTGTGTCTGCAGTTAGAACTGTTTCTAACGTCCACATGAGGGAGTTACTAACCACAGTCAACCAGCTCATTAAAGAACCAAGAACATCTCATTTTTTTAGTTTGATCAGTGCTAATAAACACAAACCACACTCCTCAGTTTGTGGCCTTTGATGCCACAGTTTCTAATGACTGCAAAGACTTTCAATCAATAGGATCAGGTCATTGTTCAGGTCGGTGCCCTTTCAACCCAAGTCTCTCATTCAGTTCTGTTGTCTGAGTCTAAGCTGATTTTCATGACGGATTTTGGCTCATTAGCTCCTTCAGCTAGTTGAGGTAAACAGTATGTTTGGTACAGTCCCATCTGGTTGCAGACAAAGCCACACCACGGAAACAGCTTCAGTAAAAATGACCTAGAGAGAGGGGGAGATAGATATAACCCTCAGGCTATTCACTTAACACTCTTACCTTTGCTATGTCGATGACACACAGCTTTACTTTCCTCAGCAGCTTGTCCTATCTCAGTGAACACCTCTCTCTGCTCCATCTCAGTGTCAGTAAAGCTGATGTTCTCGTGTTTGACACTTTCTCTAACGAGGTCAGTACATTGCCCTCCTTTCCAGCAACATCAAAACATTTGCTAAGAACCTTGTTATCATGTTTCACCAAAACTGAATTTTGAATCTGAGATTTCTAAGCTAACCCAGTCTGACTTTCTCCACCTCAGAAACATTGCAAAGCAAATCTTTACTGTCATTCGGTCATCTGGAACCTTTAAACACCTTCATTTTCCTTTGCCATGATTATCATAGCTGGCTTTTCACATGCATCTCTGAGTATCAGCTTTACAATCCCCCTTTTTTTTACCATATAAAGCTCTTCATAAACAGGACCCTGCTTATATATCAGAACTACTGAAACCTCATCACTGCAGTGACGTCTCTGATCAGCTCTCTAATTGTTACTGGCGATGCCACCCAATGTTAACGTGAATGTGTAACCCTGTGGTTGATGATGTGTCTGTTCACGTGTGTTGGAACATGTGGCTTTTATTTAAACTGTCAAGCACTTTGTATGTCTGTGTTTTTGAACTGAGCTACACAAATAAAGTTATATATTAACATTATTTTGATTATTATATTAATATATCACAAGGTTCCAGGAGATTTGCACAAACGTAGCTGGTAGAAATATCCTTCAAAGAGCTGCTTTTTACTTTGAGTACTTTCTCACTTTTACTTGAGTAAAAAAGTTGAATCAGTACTTTTAAATTTTTTTTTACCATAGTATTTTTTTAACACAGGTATCTGTACTTCTACTCAAGTAAAGATGTATTTTTGCCTCCTCTGTGAACTTTACATTTTGAATAATTGCCACATAACTATTCAATTCACAAAGATTTTCTATTTCTATTTTGTTATCACTGCTTAAAAACATTTTCAAAGGGAACAAGTGCTAATACAGTATGTGCGTGCGTGCGTGCATGTGTGTGTGCGTGCATGTGTGTGTGTGCGTGCGTTTGTGTGTGCGTGTGCATGCGAGGGCGTTACTGGATGCTGATAAGCCAGCTGGGGGGCCAAACTGATAAGCAGTCATATGTTACACCATACAGTACATGTATGCAAGTATGTTATTCATAATCACGTTATGTAAAATGTACATATATATATACAGTAATACTACAAATACATGACTCTAACCTTTCTCTATGATACAGTTTGTAGTATAACGACATTAAAGCACAAGTTGTACTACAAACCTTTACTTTTAAAAGATTTTGTAACATTTCTTTTTGTGAATAAAAAGGACGTGGTTGCCCTGCGCCCCCATCTCTTCTCTGGAGATAGACAGAAAAGGTGGGGCTAAAGGAAGCCAGACTGGAGGGGCACACGCTGTATGATAGTTTCTTATCCAACACACTCATTGGAAACAATGTTTATCGGCTAAATCTGAACAGCGTTTTTGCTTTGTTCTTATTGGTTTCTTTTAGTAGCTTGTTTCTTAGTAACATTGCAGACTTTCACAAGTTCCGATGTGTCCACGCAGGCAGTAACCTGGTAAGAAATATTTGTTACAGAAATATTTGTTACAGAAATATTTGTTGCTTAACAGACAAAACGCTGAGTTCTGAACCTATATTCTTACGTTAATGTGCATTTGTAGGTGAAACTGTTGCCTGGGCAGAGCCTAAGAGACGTTACAATAACTGAAACAAAGTAAATGAAGAATAAGACGAGTGTGGTAAACAATGAAAAAGATTGAGTGGTTGAGACGTTTGCAGGTGACACCTTTTTCCAGATCTGTAAGGTGTTTGTCTAAGATCTACTACACATAAGCTTTTTTTTAACCATAAGAAAATTTCAATGATTTGGACTTTTTTCAGGAACTACATGAACATGTGTGTGGGATTTGTTGGGATTTGTTGTGTCATCAGCCTGCTTGCTTTCCCTCATGATTCCTGTTCTTACTCCTATTTCCAGGATATTTTGGATTCCCTTTGTGGGCTTAGTTGGATTTATGTTTTACTCACCTGTTGGATTTTGTTTTTGTGGGGTTAATGCAATCCAAAATACCTTTTTGGATCTTATTTGTTAATCATGTCTGCCTCCATGGCTTACTGTTGGTATGTTTAAAAAACCTCTGTAATATAATTCAAAATACCACTAAAAAGATTATAAAAGTGTTACAATTACTGGTGTTAATAGAATAATTATTAGGTATAATGTAACACATAATACATATAGAATTCTTAAGATTATTCTGAATTAGACAAACAGGTGTTTTAAATAAAGGTACATTTGTCACGGTTTGTCTGGCCAGACTCAAATGCAGGACTGAGATTATTTACAGTGTTGGTGCAGACAGTACTCTATACAAAGTCCTATTTGTACAAAATTCACTGGAAGAAAGGTCGGTGAATCCAAGTTCCCGATCCTCTGAGTCTCTCGAGAATCCGCCGAGCAACAAACACTTTCTCCAAACTCCACTGGGCCGTCCTGCCACAGGAAGAGACACATTAAAATCTTTAGCCAGTAAACTGAAACAGAGCCTTGCAGAGAGACACAGTGGAGACGACTACAGTTAGACAACACTCAGGCAAAGACTGAAGGTCAGGTCCCAGCTGAGCCACAGGTGCTTGATTGATTCAGGTGCAGAGGGCGGAGATTCCAGGAGGATCCCGCCTCTGTGAGGCCGGTAAAAACACACAGAGCAACAAGCACAATATCAGACGCAGAGACAAAGAGAGATGGTGGAGACGCACAGGAGGACCATGACACAACCTTAAACGAAATAATAATTAGTTTATGATAGAAAACGCGTACATAACTTTCACAACTGTTAAAGCGTAGTCATGCTAAAGGTTAGAAACAACCCTTCACAGCTGTCTATAATAAGACAACAGTAGATGTGTGTGTGGTATTTGCATTAACTCACACAGATGACGCATGCACGTAGTATGACACACATTTCTTCCTGTTCTGTTTCACTTCTGCTGGAGGAGTCTCTCTATCCTCTTAACCTAATATTGATGTTAATGTTGTAGCCTCTGAAAAAATGTTCCTGCTTAGATCATTACTGTCCCAACAGTGGAGTTCAAGGATGACACGGATTCTGTTTTGTTTCAGGTTAAAGCCACATTATGACTGAATTAGAAGCCATGGGGGCGGGGGCGCCTCCACCCTACATAATGTTTCTGGTGGTCTTCCTTTTCTTTCTTACGGGACTGCTGGGCTTCCTAATCTGCCACCTCTTGAAGAAGAAGGGCTATCACTGTCGAACAGACGTGGAGGATGAGGAGGAGGAGGAGAAGCTAGGAGGAAATGCAGATGGTGGGTTGGAGAGAAAAAGGAAGGAGCTCTGTGACAGAAAGTAAAATAAGGTTTAAGTTAGCCATACTGACATATATACATTTGTAATAGATTACTATTAGAGTATTATGAGTAATGTATATGATCCAATTTTATTTGTATAGCAAGAAATTACAACAACAGTTGCATTAAGGTGCTTTATATTGTAAGATAAAGACTCTACAATAATACAGAGAGAACAGAAACATTGTGTCTGTTAGTGACATAAACATTAAAGCTGCATTCATTTATTTAAGTGTTTATTAGAACCACAACAATGATAAACAGTGGGCTATTGTTAGCTTGCTAACACATCTATTGTAGTGGCCGTGCTCGTGTGCTTGTCATGTCACAGATGTGCACGTTAAAGCAGACGACTCGTAAGCTGGAGAGGAAATAGCGTCTCACTAATTTCAAAGATCATCATTTAGCCTGGAGAGATACTGTAAAACTAGAACATCTTACTAGTCATCAGTGATTGTAGCCAGGCTGGAAAGTCAGAGCTCTGTTGAGCAAAGCTTTGCTTTCATGAATGTTTTCATGACTAAAGTTTTAATTGTTAAAGAAAAGATTCATAACCATCTCACAGATGTATCATTACCTACAGCTGCTTTCAATACTGTTGATATTTATTTACATTTTTCGCTTCAGTTGTTCTGAGTTAACTTCAAAAAATCTTTTCCTTAATAAATGAACTTGTCTGTTAGTCAAAATACCGACACGTAGCACAGGACTTTAGGCTGGCAGTCGTTAAACTGTTACTTAAACAGCCATCGCTTGACGCAGCTGTCTTTTTTT